GTTCGATCTTCTAGTTCGTGTAGAATAGATGGTTTGGACAGTGGTGAATCAAGAGGTTGGTCACCCCATTGAGACAGGAAATTTTCGGATTACTGTCTACATGGCGTTTGCTTTTTTTTAACTCGCATGGCAATTCGATGCCCGCATCTTCCCGAGCCAATTCATCTATAACAGGTTCGGATCTTGGGTCATCCAATGTAAATGTACCATGATGCCTGGACGACCCAGGCCATCCTCGTCTAGTCCGCCCACATATGTTGACATCTGTTCGGTCAAATCCAGGTCAGAATTCAGGTACCTTGGTCATCGGAAAGCTAAGCCCAGGAGTTCTCGAATGAGGCAATAAGAGAAGGCATTTAAGCTTAATCCACTGATCCGTTTTCTTGAACTCGAAGGCTATATGCCCCCTTCCCCCAGCAAAGTCACAGACAAAACATTTGGAGACCTGTAGATGATGGAACAATTAATTTTTATCACAGCAGATGCTACTCGCTATTGATACCCTATATTCCTCATATCGAAATTACATGCTTTTAATGTACTTCAGTCGAGGACTTTCTCTGCCTTACTTGAAGCGTAGTATGATACGCTTAGCAGTATTATTAGCCCGCACATGCCGTCTTCCTAGGCCAAGATACTCGTTCCTGGATGCCTGACCAAACGTTTGGGTAAGGTCGTAACGGTACGGCACGACGCTTGGTGGCGTAAACCTTGAGTCCCGGGTCGACTGAGCCTCGTGGACACCATCGCGGCTGAGAATAGTCAGAACGATTTCGGAGATACAGTTTCAAGACGAAATCCCGGACTAGAGTCTTCCTCGACGTAGCTATCATACCTGTTTGGCATATCTACAGACTTTACATAGCCAGTGAACCCCTCAAGTCTCAAACTCAACCAACTAAGGTTCCCGGTCAGCCAATGATCTGCTCAATATCGCAGACTCTGCCGAGGAGGCATCGTGGTCTAACTTGCTCACTCCGACATCCAGGTCGAACATTTGCCGTCAAGTGAACCAAGGTAGATGCCATGGACCAACACGGTACTCTGCTAATTGTTCATCTAGACTAATATAAACCGCCTTCCATCCCCCATGGATTCTCATTCTCTTCGCCCAGCATCCACCACACTCTTGTTCATTTCATACACTTTTCTACGTTCTGCAAAGTCTCTTCTTGTACATACCATACTCGTCTACGCCTCATACAACCACTTCTCTCACACAACACTCTTCCTCTTCTCACAACACAAACCCATCTCTTCACCACTCAAGATGTCCTCCTATCAGCTTTCATATACCATGCTCAATGAAAGAAGTCTGGCCATCATCTGCCTTGCAGCTAGAATTGGCAAGAAGACCGAGGCTGGAAGCAAGGAGTACTTTCCCGGTGCCGCCCACTCTCGTGTATTCGAGTTCTTCTATTCGAGATTTGTTCGATCTCAAGATTCTGTCTGGCGCCAGATCCCGCGCCAGATGCGCCAGGACCTCCTCGAAGAGTACTATCCCGACGTAGACAATGTCCATTCCTACCTCAGCGAGCGGGGTTTCAAGTCAATTCTCAAGAAACTGTGCTCTCACTGGTTTGAGGATATCGAGAAGCACATGCCAGATGTTCTGTTCTTGATGCCAGAGCAATTCAAAGTGGCACCGACCAATAATGACTCAAAGAACAACAAGCCCGCTTCTTCTCACCCTCTGGAGGCGCCGGCCAAGCATTCGACCAAAAATCCATCCCCGCCCAAGGATACCGAGCCCAAGTCTCTCCTCTCTACCAAGAGAAAACGCGAAGGGGCTGGGGAACACGAGGATAAACCTCGTGTTGCAAAGAGAACGAGGCTGATGACTCCCAAGAGCACCAGCGGCTCGGAAAGTCCTAGCCCCAGCCCCAGCTTGCAACGACAGCAGCAACCACAGCGCGAGGAGCGTTGGCTGTCGGAGAGAGAGGTCGCGCGTGTTGGGCGCCGGCCTCAAGGCAAGAAGTGGAAGTCGCAGATTACCCCACTGCATGTATAGGCGTGGGCCACACTCTTCTAAGCTGTCGAGCCCGTGTCTCTTCGCGTACAAGCAGTCGTGACGTCGTCTATCGTCAAAGGAGTTTCAGGTAATGATACCCTACGGAGATGTTGGGTCGGAGTTTTGGTTTGGTAACAAGGTCTGAGATCTCTGCTTGTTTCGTGGAACCATGAGCCGGGGCGTTTGGTGTTGTCACATCAGCTTGATTGTTAACGGATACTGCTTCGTATTACACTTCAATTGTACTTCGCGGCCGCAGGAATTGCTTGAGTCGTTGGAAGTCACTTCTGTAAACGACTACTAGATTGTAAATACGAATGAATGGATGTGACTTTCATCATGCCTGTGCTGGGTTTTTGTTCTGCCTAACCAATCTTGAAGACATCGCTGCCGTGTCTATCTACACCTCCGATCACCATCAATAGTGAATTGTCAAGCTTGTCAAGTGTCTCGTTGCATTCATCAACACAGAAGATCATTTGCCCAAAGGTCTCATTGGCAGAATATTTAAGAAGGGATTTGTATACTTTCTCGGTTCGGTCAAGCTCATGATGCTGTATTTGACAGCGACTCTCCCTAGTTACTCTCCCTACTCACCGACCCTCAACGTTGACCGCCATCGGTCCATCGTGCTTTTCATCTCTCTCCACGTTGTCTGCAAATACTTCCACCTTAGCCTGTGCAAACTTGCGTGCACTCACGCGGTTCTCGAACAGCATCTCAAGCTCAGCTGGGGAGCGTCCCTTCGGTTCGGGAAGACAGAAGTACGCCCAAACCAGTTCGCAGAAGCAAATTCCTGCCCAGATGAATCCTCCCTTTCCTCTCAAGTTCCAGGCGCTGGGGTTGATGATAGGCGGGTTCAAGAAGTTGGCGCCGATGCTAGCCAGAAGATAGGCATTGCGGGCAATAGCAACTGTCTTGATTCGGAGTCGGGTGGAAGGAATTTCTGCGACTAAACAGTAGCAAGTTGGTCCCACGGTCATGTCGTATGTGATGACGAAGACCATCAACAAGGCTCCCGATGCCCAGCCTAGATCCGGACGGGGAGCCGGAATGCCCATACCGCCGACGATCACTAGTACGGTGAACATGATGCAAAGCCCAACGACATATAGCGTTCGACGTCCGACATGGGGGAGAAGGAACCAAGAGAGAAAGGTGCCGACGATAGCCATGGCATTAGTTCCGAGACCAAAGCTGAATGAGTTGTCCGAGTCAAAGCCAGCTTGTTGAAGGAAGTAGATGACGTTGCTGCCAAACCAAACGCCACAAGCAACTTGTCCCACCCACACGAAGCAGGTAATCATTGTTCTGCGAAGGTTGGTGCCACGAAAGCAGTCGATGTATGAGGTTCCCTCCGAGTTCAGTCTCTCCATCTCGTTTGTATGGGCGATCATGGAGATGCTGACGTCGAGTTCAGCATCTGTTGTCGAGGAACTCGCTAGTCGCCGCAGAGCATTGCGAGCGTCGGTCAGACGGCCTTTACGAACCAGCCAAGTCGGGCTCTCGGGTGCGAGCATAACGCCAACCATGATGGGCAAGGGGAACACCCATTGGATGGCGTAGGGAATACGCCAAGCCCAGTCGTCGGGGCGAGAAAGGAGTCCTCGCAGGACACCAGTACCGATGAATTGCCCAATGACCCAGCACATGTTTGTATAAGTCGTCATGATCGGTCGAAGGGCCATGGGCGTGACATCGGCGGCGTAGGTTGTCGTCAAAGCTTGGAAGGCACCCCAGGGGAGGCCACAAAGCAGACCTCCTGCGAGAAGGTAGCCGATATTCTGCGCAAAGAAGAAGAGGAAGATGAAGGCGATGTTAAGTACTAGGGCACCGAGGAAAGTCTTCTTGTATCCGTAGCGTTCCGCGACGATACCACCGACGAAGAGCCCAATCATTTGACCAACTTGAGTAGCGTTTTGCAAGCCCGACTGCCATGTTGATGTCAGTTGATAGTCGCCGTTCTCCAACCGCACTCCGAATCTTCGACGGAACTGCGGCAAGCCGTAGAAGTTGCCAATTAGGGAGGTGTCGTATGCCTCCATGACAATGCAGAGAGAAAGGACCATTGAGAATGCCACAGACTTGGGATACGCCCGGAAAGACTCCATGACCGACATGTTCTTTTGGCCCTCCGTCGCCGCTTGAGCATCGTGGGCTACATGATCCAGAAGTACCGGCTCATGTTTGCCGTGCTTTTCTGCCGCACTTGGATCTGTGAGTGCATTTGCAGCCTCGACATTGGCCGGGGTGGTCGCCATTGGTAGCACAGACTCTAGACAGCTGATAAGATGACAGGGAAAGATGGAGATGGTTGTAGTAAAGTCCGGGGAAATCTGGGGAACATGTTTCCGAATTCGGGACCATGAAGAACTATTTATCTTGATGCCTCTTGCTCGCGTAGGTTGACCTCCGTGAAGAAAACCATCAACCCGCCTTTTCCCAGAAATATTTTGCTTGCGCCAACATCGTCCGACGTGCAACCCGCATCGGTGGTTCTTGATCGTACGCAGTCTTGGAGAACTTCACTGACTTGCAACTTTTCTCGTGGCAATCAGGTGGTGGTTGACTCGGGTCTCGGACAACCTAGCCGTCAAGGGCCGTAGTGTTGGTTCCATGTGGATAATGCGGGTTGGTCCGGGGATATTTCAAGCGAAAAGTTCAAGCGACAAGGCCGAGACTCTGATGCCCGGTTAAATTCTCGTGGAATTTTTAGCTACCCATGGAAATCCGATGACCTTGACAAGGAGGGGCCCCGAAGCCGATGGGTTGAAAAAGGGAATCCGCGTCCGGGTATCCGTACCCCCCACAAGAGTCAGTCGCTTGATTTATTCGCCTGAAATGGTATTTAGGAAAGACAACTGCAGTCTTCCAGACTTGGAATCAGATTTAGCTATTTTCATAATTCACTTTTCCGACATCTCATGCAACCATCGCCTTTGAAACCGGAATATGGAGAAAGGCAAGAAGCGTACGAACTATCCCTGCGATGGATGCTCGCTTCGGCGAGTACGATGCCACTTACAAGGAAGCAGCCCACCCTGCAACGAATGCCGAAAAATATCAGTCGAATGCACATTTCTCCGGGTTCCACGAAAGAGAGGACCGAAGGGGCCTCGATTGAGTACCACTCACAAGGTGGTAAACTACCAGGAGCAAATTCGGCAGAATCGATCAGGTCTCCCTCTTCCGGCTCGTGGACCAACACAAAGCCCCAGATCGCCGTCAACTCCCGGTGTGGAGAACGAGGGTACTGCCCAGAAGAACCCTTTGGAGGTTTACATCGAATACCTGGACAAGTTTCGAGACCATCTAACATGTGTTTGGCCCGTCGTCAACGTGGAATCCCTAAAGTCCCGGATCAGTGGTTCGCTGGATGATCACGATGCATGGGCATTAGCTGGAGCCATCTGTGCTACGGTAATTGCTCAGCTACGACTATCTCAATTGCGGCTTTCCAAGCAGCATAACTTGGTCTCAGATGACAACAGCATTGCGGAAAGCTTTGCACATCATGCTCAACTCTCGCATAATCTGAGCAATCAGCATCATCAAAGCACTTACTACAAGGAAGACACGACAGACTCTTTACTGACTGCGTTCTTTCTACACATCTACTTCGCCAATACAGAACGCATCAGGCTAGCCACGGTATACTTACATGAGGCAATTGCTCAATTGCATTTGCAAAGCCTACACCGTCCAGAGATCCTAGTCAGTCTCGCAGACGAACAAAGAGAATTGCTATTGCGGATCTTCTGGTTGGTGTTTGTAACTGAGAGGTGAGTTCCTCCCCTTTCATACTGGCGACGGTTCAGTCGATAAGCCTCCTCTATGGAGGGTCGGATTGCTGACAGAGAAGAAACAGGACATTCTGCGTGCAGAACTGTTTCCCACCATGCCTCAAGCCAATCCAGACTTTCCCGCTCTCCGGATTTCACATCCAAGGAGTCGGCGAAGTGGACGCTTCCTTCCAACTCCTCGCTCAACTCTTCACCCTACTCGACGATAACATAGTCATGGCGGCAGACAGAGGGGGCGTCACACCCGGCTCCAGCAAAGCCGACAATCTCTACAGCGCCCTCTCGGCCATGGCCAAGCAGGACTTCTCGGCCCTGGCCCCCAACCTCCCAGAGACCCAGCGAGTGAACGTGCTGATGACGGGGAACTGGATCCACATACTCCGGTGGCAGTTTGCTCTGAGCCACTACCAGATGTCTAGCCGCATGGATGATGCAATGCTCTCCATGCTGAAGCCTGCCAAGGTTGCCCACGAGGCCATGCGCCTGCTCGGGTCTGTTTCTCAGCAGGCCATTCGGACCCACGGATATGGCCTAGTAAGTATCACACTACCGAGGTTCTGGCCGCGCCGACGCTGACATTTCGCCCCTTTTTTCTTTCCTGTAGGAGCTGAAAGTATTCCGTATTGCCGATGCTCTCATCGACATCCTAGCTTGCAATACGTGGTTGTCTAGCTCCTTACAGCCCGGATGCAATAGTATGCTTCTGGGGGCCAGAGATGTACTGCATTCTCTTCAGAAAGCACTTTTGCTCATTGGTGGGCCGGAGTCTTTGTTTCACAAGAAGTTGATGCTGGTTATGGCCGAATCACAATTACCGGTGCCGAATGTCAAGGCTTTGACGCCGGGCGAGGAAAACGAATGCGTTGAGGATTTATAGAAGAGCCAGTACCATTGAATCACCCGAGTGATTGACTATGAATCTTGCACATGAAAGCCTCTCTATCATTTGACCGTGTCCTCGGGATGTATCGTGTAGATCGATACTTCCAGCATAGCATGAGTGTCACCATCGACCATGAGCCCCGCCTTGATTTGTCTAGACACCTGTGCGCTTACTTGATGTGTCAAGTGACACGCCATGCCGTGGTTCTTGCGAGAAATTCAGGCGAGGAATGGTTCTTTTCGGTCACGGGATGCCATCGGCAGTCGCTTGACATGTCTCTCTCGCTGATTCATAGATATTGCTTCGCAGTATTCAACACTCTTGTCATGCGCTCCGAACGCGCTGGATCAGTGCCTACACTGGCTGAACATATCTTTCTGAGAGTAGGACGAGCCCTTGATTCGATAGACTATACCAGAACTGTCACGAGTGGGAAGAAAGCCAAGTCTGTGCCTACCCCATTCGATATCTCTCCGGCCCTTCACTTCATCGCAGCGTCTAAAGTATGTACACTACAATAGACGCAGTTGATAACTTGATACCACCGACGAGAACAGCAATTTGATATATTGGCACCTTGTTTCAGCCTGCCTATGCTCACCCTTGATGCCGATAGGATGACAATTCATCTCTATCCCATGAGCAAAGAAATACAGGAAGCCAGTGCTACGCATGAGCGGCGCAGTCTGAAAGCCCAAAGATGCCGACGCGGAAAATGACATCGCCATCAAGCTTCAATGGTTGAGCCACACGAATCACAGAGAGACAGCCAGAAAGCTCCATCCAGATACAATTCGGGTTCAGGGGCAACCAGTCCTTTATCATTTCTCAACAGCCATGAAGCCACAGCTACGAAGATGATAGGGGTTCCTCGAGTATCGCGTCCCATGATCGCGGCAACTTTCGGAGCTCTTTTGGGGTTGCGTAGAGCAGACGGATAGGGCAATGTAGAATGGTATGTGATGGAGCTGGAGGGATCCATCCCTTCATGAGAAATGGTACCCCGATGACTGTACTGAACTCTTCAGAGCCTTGTGTAATTGCCTCATCAAAGTCGCCTACTACCTCCCTCGTGTACCTATGCTTATCTTCCTCCCTGATGGGTTTCTCGGCGATCCCATCTTGCTTACGGAGTGACCCCGTAAATGTCCGAGCAGGAAGAGGTTGGCTCAGCACACGACCCAAAGCCCAAGATCATCGATGCGCAACTACGCTCTCCAACCGCAACAGCCCAAAACCTCAGGGACCACAATACTGACCAACATCTCTCTCAAACACATCCCCATGAATAGAAGGAACGCCAGACTCATTGATCATATTTTCATTTCGATTCGATCTGATCTCAGCCCAACCGCAGCGGCCGTACTACAAGAGAAAAAAAACAACTACCAAAAAAAGTACTACTACGACTGTTGAATAAAAAACACGCCATCTATCAACTCCCAAGCGAGCATCGCATCGCATCGCATCGCAATCGTATCAACAAACTCAAAGAGAGAGAGAATAAGACGAAGTAAACCCTAGACAGCAGCATGCGTCCTCCACACCAAGCCCTCCACCCCGCGTTCCCATTTGACAATCTTACAAGAAAAAGCTTCCATACTTTACGCCTGCCATGGAAGCCCCACGCGACGCAAAGACGAGGAATAGTCAAGATCAACCAGAATGCTGTCATGACGAAAGACGTGCGGATACCCATGTCTCGTCCGTCATCTGTCCAAGCTTCAGAGTCTTCTTGTCCCCGTCACGTCTCACCCTCATCCCGAAACAACAAGACAGGGAAGCAAAAGAGACAACCACCTAAGCTTCTTCCGCCTTTCCATCATGAAGGGTGGCGATCCCGTCTGTACTATACGAGATAGATAAAAACAAAAAAAGTTCGTTAACCAAATAAACCTCCCCCGCCCTTCTCTAGTCCGTGGCGGAATATCTTCCGCGCTGCAGTACCGCCAACGGATAAGAAAATCTTCAAATCCACCCTTCCACTGTTGCAAAACGACAAGAAACCAAACCGTACATCTTCGGTCTCTTCTCTGATAATGATTCCCTCCCTGAATGACGGCCAATTTATTGGCTTTTGGGTATCCCTGTCTTCTTAGTGATAGCCGCGCCGAGCTATGTATTTCGGGTTTTTTTCTTTGTGCAGCATTATATCTTCCCTTCCTGAACAATGAAACGACGATCCAACCTCAACGCCGATGGATGTTTGATGAAATGAATAAGGGAGTGTGCATAAACACGTATATTGGAGAGGTGTACGATGCCAAGTAATGTCTGAGGATTTGGGGGGTTGCAAAGAGACTGCTTCTGATAAATCCAAAGCCGTCTCGATGGCATCCGCGACATACTTCTGAAAGGGTGGTGTTGGAAACCCGGTTCCACTCGGGACTCGGTGGCAGGATCGCCAATAAGTCACCATGTTTGTGTACGGAAAATGGGTATATATAGGTATGAGAAATCGCAAGTCTCATGATGTGCTTGTGTCTCATCTCTCGATACTCTCGGGACTCATCATGCCCATGGGCTCGTCCTTATCGGTCTGACTGGCGTTGCCCTGGCTTTGCATGCTCTCGTTCCGCTCCATGCTTGGAGGCAACGCGATTGCCGCTGGATTGGGTCCGGTGCCATTGATGTTTGCGTGCTTGACCTTCTTTGCCGGTGTAGTCTCGCCCTTCTTCTCTGGAGAAGCATTGGCATCCTTGTTGGCTTGCGCCGCCAATTCCATTTTCTTCTTCTTCTTAGCGAGGGCAATCTGCTCCTTGGGCGGCCTCTTCTGCGGTGAGACAATCTTTCCAGATGCGCCAAGACGGGGTCTGGGCCGCCTCTGCTTAACAGGAAGCTCCTCGTCCTCGATCAAGGGCGTATCGCCGTTAGCGTGTAGCTTAGCCAGGAAGAAGTTCTTGACGAGACCAATCTGGCCGTGGATGTTCTCCGTCGTAATGGGCTCAACAGGCGGCAAGGATTCGAAGAGGTCGGTGACCTCCGCGCCAACCGTCTGTGTCTGCATCTGGAATTGGTTGCGAACACGGGACTGAAGCAAGTGAAGAGGAACCGAGAGCATATCCAAGCCCATCTCCTTGTCCAGACCAAGGGCCTTGAAACCAAAGAAGTCTTCGCCGAGATCCTCAGCAAAATCACCACTAACGAACTGCTCGCTGCCGTCTTTGAAGGCACCAACACCATCTTGTCCGGCTTCCTGGGTAAGGGCAGGCCGCAAAAGCTCGGTCAAATGGAACTTCATACGTTCGTGGATGCCGCCAAGCTTCGTGCTGAGTCTGTCGACTTCGTCCTTGGCGTAAGACTCCAGACTAAGCAGGTCGCAACCGTTTTCATCGAGTGTGTGCAAGATAATTTCCTCGGGAGTGAAGCGAGACTGGAATCGAGAGCTTCCTTCGGCACGGGACACTGGTGCCTCGATCTTCTCTGCCTCGCGATACACATTGAAGGTCTTGATGATCTTCTCGAAGTAGTCAGATGCTAAGCTCGTCATGGTGTCAATAGCAGAGGGCTGAAGCTCTTCGAAACCGGTGTGGTAGAGAATCTTGGCTACGGAGCGCTGGAGGGCACTACGGCAAGTCTCTGGCGCAATGACTGGGCCATCATCTGCAATGAAGGATGGCTCGGCATCTTGCTCCACGAAAGATTCGTAATTGGACTTGGGAAACTGGTTATTATAAACCTAGAACACATGCGTTAGAACACTGATACACCCGCCGGCGACGCCTGTATATACCTGAGTCTGGATCTGCATCTGCTTAATCACGCCGATCTTGCTCGATAGTTTCCTCGTCTCCTGGATCTGATGGATGTTGCTGTCGATCTTGCTGGCAAACTTGCTCTTAGGCGCCTTGAAGTGGCCTTCGGGGATCATTCGAAGATATTCCTCATGCTGGTTGATGACATGGCCCTCGCCGTCCTCGATCCACTGCAGCTTTGGCTGGATGTCCGGTAAAACTGTCAGAGGTTCGTAGTATGCTGGTACAATCTTTTCCTCTTCTCCTTCCATGCCCTCAGCCAGAGTTTCGGCAGGCTTCGCGGCTTCTTTAGCAGCAATGGCAGACGAGTCCGCCTGGGCTTGGCCAATGACGCCCAGGGCTTCGGCTTCCTTTTGCCCCCTCAGATACCATCGAATGCCGGCTTTATTTCGGAGTAGAGCAGGAGCGTCGGTGTTGAGCTTGTTGTCCTTGAAAAGCTGATACCGTTCCTTGGCGATGAGTGCGCGGTCCTTCTTCGTCACTTGCTTCCAGATCTTGTACTCTTCGTCCTCATAGGCCTGTTCTGCAGCCTCATTGAGAGCTTGCCCCAAGGCCATGCCGTTCAACGTGGGCCCATCGATATCCATAGCGTCAGCATTGCTTCCGATGCCCGAATGTCCGTTGACGCCGCCAGGCGTTGCCGAGCCACCGATTGGCGTACCGAAACCGCTGCCATCAACTGCTTCAGAACCTTCTCGGCCCTTAGCCAGGAGGCCATTCAGCTGTAGCACCGGTTTCTGGTCAACACTGGGGGTGCCCTCCTTCTGATCGGTGGGTTGTTTCCGAGACTTGGCGCCCTTGGTTCCGGCAGTACGACCGCGAGATGACATTATCGGTTCATCGTCCGAGTCGTCACCGCCGTCTTCCTCGCCACCGTTCTGTTTTCGGCGCTCTTCTGCCTCGACCTCGGCTCGCGGTCTGATGACGAGGTCCGGAATGAGAGGAATAAGCTTCTCGGCCTCTTTCCTCATGCCATTGGCCATCCGCCTCAGAGGGTGTCCCATATCTTGGTTGTAGCGCAGGCAGTTGTCCCATATCAGGTTTAGGTCGGTGACGAACTCCGCCTTCGATTTATACGTGAGGGACTTGATTTTCTTGGTCATAGATCCCATGTCCATTGGCTGCTTGATGACTGCGTTGTGCCGAGGGTGGTTAGCCAATCCGAGTCAAACTTGTCTGCCTGGAGGCAACTTACGGTTATAGTAATCCGGCGCATCCCTCTTATTCACCCTCTGCAGA